GTAGGTGAATGTTTCACAACTAACATCTTAAATGTCTTCTTAGATATAAATAAGATAAGTTTTGTATATAGTGAAGACGTAACAAGTACTACATGCACATTATTGATGCTCCTTCATCGGTAGTATAGAATGTATGAGAATGACAGCTGTCTGGATGTATATTCTATATTGTTCCTTATATTAAGAAGTTATGTAAATCCCGTTCCCATTATCTTTGATATATCTCGTTCAATGTGACCAGTTGGTTTATTTTATTCTACAGAGTTGTCTTAAAATACGCGCAAATCGTAACTAAAATGAGCCTGGGAACAATTATTTTTCTGTTGGTTGCCAAGGTGGCGCGGAAAAACTCTGTTGATCAGGTGATCAAACATGCTCCGCCCCTCATTAATATTCATGAGGAAAAGTAGCCCTCATTTCTCCATATGCTTCAGTGATTGTTGTGCCTTGGAATATACTCGGGATTTCACATTCATTGGATTTACGAACGTTTTCAGGCTCGCACAAGGACATGCTATTGTGCGCTGTAGTCACATGTGTAATGTGTGTTGTCTGTTTGTTTGACATCGGCCGATGCGAGGTAGATGCACTAGACCCAGTGTGTCGTCCTAAGTCCGTTTGTACGGTTTCATTTGAGCGCCTAGTCATTGAGAGAAGAGACAACATCCTATGTTTTTGTTTATTATTGACTGTTCTGTAATTGTTCAATACATGTGTGTAAAAGTGGTGATGTAATCTGTTTTGCTAAAAGTGCACAGGGTCACAGGTCATGTTGAAAAAAGTTCGTTGTATGTGACGTAATAGCGCGTGCCAGCTATCTTGATCGAGGTAGATCAAGACAGGTTTATCTTTTCCCCCACCTAAAACGGGAATGTACATGTGAAGTGTGGGAGAATAATAAAATCTTTCATCCCCTTGGGGGTGAGATAGGGGGATCTTAACCCGAGGGGGGAGATTCTTAAGTTAACTTAAGAATCTTCCCCCCTAGGGTTGAGATCCCCCTATCTCATCCTCGATGGGGTGAATTATTATTTTTCTCTTACCCTGTTGTTCCTGTCCAAGTAGACGAACCATATTGTTTGTAAACAAGAACACATGTATAGCGTATTAATATTATATGTATGCGTCAGACGCTTCACGCATCATTTTTTTGTATCACGCAAAATATAGTTCCGTTACAATTGACCAACAAAACATCCCATAAAATATATCCTTTCGTATATTCGACTATGCTTTTTTATTTCTGAATAAGATATGTTAAATTTAAGTTAAACACATATTTGCATTAAAATTAGTTTATGAGAAAGTTTTGCAATGTCACACATGTCACGTGATTCCCAATCTCTCATTTTGAGTTCATTCATGGTCACTAGTCACTGTCTGTATCCGACAGGATGACACGTGCACGGCGCTTGTTTCGAATTTTCTCCTGTGATGATGCTTGGATATTTATATTAAATGTGCCACCTTCTATTGTGCATCCATGAAAAATCGTGGATGCTAATGTATTTGTATCACACAAGGATACGCTGTTGTGTTGTTGTGTCAAATTGGAGCAATTCTCAGAGGAGGTAAGTGTGCTTGAAATTGGCGGGCGCGTGGAGTATGAATTTGCGGGAACACATCTAAAGTTTGAAACATCGGAGACAGGCTTGTTATAAGCCGGGATAGCTGACATGTTTTGTTTTTGGACATACCTCAATACGCGCTAGTTGTTTAGTGACTGTGGCTTCCTATATGAACTGCTTGTGTGTCGGGAATTCCCGTCTCCAACAACTTCTGTCACAAGTGTTTACGCACACTCGTGTTGGTGAAACGCTTGTGCTCTAGTCCGAGAGGTGTGCATTTTGTGCTATATTTTTGAGCAAGTGTGCTAATTTGTTTCTACCGACAGGTCCTCTCAAGAACCATTGCTCATTTTCACTGGGTTTCGTTTTATTTGTTACCGAAGCTAGGTAGAAAGGATGATCATTAATTGAAAAATTCGCCGGACGTTTGTTGGAGAATACTTGATATGCCTGTACCGGGCATCGTTCTGGGTTGTCTGCTGTGGCGTACATCGTTGGTTTGCTGTCGCTGATATTTGTTATATCAACTCCCGTCCTTATTTTTGTTTGTCTTTCATTGTAAGATTAAAACTCCATCATCAGCTCGTCATCGAAACATAATTCTTGGAAGGCAATTTATCAAGTTCATTGCCTGGAATTTGATGAATGTCACGGTTTTCTCCGTTGGTTTTCAGAAATGATCTCAACAGGTTTATATGGGCCAGGGTTTTTCTGAGAGTATTTTTATTTTCATTTTCTGTGATAAAGTCTGCTAAACTTCCATATTTATGAATCTACTGTTCTTGTTTATGTTTACATGTGTGGTTATAGTCTCACTCACAGCGTCGCATGGCGGTACACGTATGTTGTCTACGTTGTTGACATGTGTGGTTATAGGCACACTCACAGCGTCACATGGCGGTACACGTGTGTTGTCTTCGTTGCTGACATGTGTGGTTATAGTCTCTCTCACAGCGTCACATGGCGGTCCTCGTGTGTTGTCTATACGTTGCTGACATGTGTGGTTATAGTCTCATTCACAGCGTCACATGGCGGTCCTCGTGGGTTGTCTATACGTTGTTTACATGTGTGGTTATAGTCTCACTCACAGTGTCGCATGGCGGTACACGTGTGTTGTCCACGTTGTTGACATGTGTGGTTATAGTCTCGCTCACAGCGTCGCGTGGCGGTACACGTGTGTTGTCTACGTTGCTGACAGGTGTGGTTATAGTCTCACTCACAGCGTCCCATGGCTGTACACGTGTGTTGTCTACGTTGTTGACATGTGGGGTTATAGTCTCACTCACAGCGTCCGATGGCGGTACACGTGTGTTGTCTACGTTGCTGACAGGTGTGGTTATAGTCTCACTCACAGCGTCCCATGGCTGTACACGTGTGTTGTCTACGTTGTTGACATGTGGGGTTATAGTCTCACTCACAGCGTCCGATGGCGGTACACGTGTGTTGTCTACGTTGCTGACAGGTGTGGTTATAGTCTCACTCACAGCGTCGCAAGGCGGTACACGTGTGCTGTCTACGTTGCTGACATGTGGGGTTATAGTCTCACTCACAGCGTCACATGGCGCTCCTCGTGTGTTGTCTATACGTTGTTTACATGTGGGGTTATAGTCTCACTCACAGCGTCACATGGGGGTCCTCGTGTGTTGTCTATACGTTGTTGACATGTGGGGTTATAGTCTCACTCACAGCGTCCGATGGCGGTACACGTGTGTTGTCTACGTTGCTGACAGGTGTGGTTATAGTCTCACTCACAGCGTAACATGGCGGTCCTCGTGTGTTGTCTATACGTTGCTGACATGTGTGGTTATAGTCTCTCTCACAGCGTCACATGGCGGTCCTCGTGTGTTGTCTATACGGTGTTGACATGTGTGGTTATAGTCTCACTTACCGCGTCGCATGGCGGTTCACGTGGGGTGTCTACGTTGCTGACATGTGTGGTTAGAGTCTCACTCACAGCGTCGCATGGCGGTCCACGTGTGTTGTCTACGTTGTTGACATGTATGGTTATAGTCTCACTCACAGCGTCGCATTGCTGTACACGTGTGTTGTCTACGTTGTTGACATGTATGGTTATAGTCTCACTCACAGCGTCGCAAGGCGGTACACGTGTGCTGTCTACGTTGTTGACATGTGTGGTTATAGTCTCACTCACAGCGTCACATGGCGGTCCTTGTGTGTTGTCTATACGTTGTTGACATGTGTGGTTATAGTCTCACTCACAGCGTCACATGGCGGTCCTCGTGTGTTGTCTATACGTTGTTTACATGTGTGGTTATAGTCTCACTCACAGCGTCACATGGCGGTACACGTGTGCTGTCTACGTTGTTGACATGTGTGTCGACAACGGGAGGCGAATTCGAAGCTGGAATTTCACTTCTGGTGATCAAAGAGGGGGCAGATATTGGGACAGAGATTTGTTTGGGATCATTGATATCTGTATTTATGAAATCGGATTCCAATTCTGCATTAAACAGGTAAAGAAAAGTCAAATTCATCGTCTGCCAAACCTTTCACAAGTTGGTGTTTGCTAGCACTCGCAACTTCACCAGTAGCACACAGACGTACTTTGAACATAACATATGTTCCAATTGGTTTAAAAGTATTTTTTATGACACCCTGTTTTCCTTCTGATCCAACATTTACCAGATCACCGATTGTAAACATTTTAAAATCATTCCAGTCTTCTTTGATGTCAAATGTAAAGACAAGATTAGCAGACGAACTTGTGTATGTGTGTGACCTCATAAAAAGTAGTTCTTCTTCCGGGTCACATCAGTGACGTCAGGTTTATTGTGGAGAACGTGCAAAGAGCACGTGTAGCTTGTCTCAACCCTAGGGTGAGACAAGAAAATCTCACACCGGTAAAAGTGTGGATACACCTGTCCAGGGTAAGAGAAAGCTCTATCTTACACACAGGGAAATAAGAGAATATCCCCCGCCTAAAGTGCAATAAATTAAAAAAACTACTACAAAACTACATGGAATAACAATAGTCGTTAGGTTTTCCTGTAACGGAATTTTGCATTTATTTCCTGTCAAATAATATAAGATATTGGCGTGCAAAATGTAAATTGATGTGTTTCTAAAATATACTTCTTTTTGAACACCGGCACTTTGATAAAGTTGGACATATGAGCAACTGATTTTAGTGTAAAAGGAGAATAATTATGCTAAACTTGAAAATATATCTGTTGATGTAAACAATTTTATATTTTATTTTGAAGAAAAGAAATAATTTGATTGATAAAACTAAATTTCGAAAATCATGCGCTGTCCAGATTTCATCTAAATATAATGAATTATCTGACACCCCGGCTTTTCTTACAACGTACACCTGGTCATTCAAGGAGACGGGGATATTTTATCAGGAAAGTAAACATGGTAGCTAAATATTTGATGAGTAAACATAAGTGGCATACAGGGTCGATATGTGTGACGCGAACCCTTCACTGTGGACGGCGTCACAATCTAGAACACTACCATAGCACAGTAATTTCATCAGGGACGCATTATCGCACGTAACACACTCTCCCTCAAGGCGGTAAGTACCCTGTTTTAGTCTTTTCTATGCACTTGCATTATTGTCTGTCTTTCCACGTCAAGCTCGTACCGAGCCGTGTATATTTGTCGTATTTACCTCGATGCTATATGTTCTGTATTTCGTACAATCAACATTACGTATATGTTGATATACATTTTAATCGTTAATACCAAGGTATGATTTTAAACAAGCTCTGTTGTTAGTTATTGCACATATTACTCACAACAGTATTGATTAATGTATATGCTAATTGTATTCATTGTATTAATTTGACCACTGTGACCTTGACAATTGGTTAAGGTAATTTATTTGAACAAACTTGGTAGCCCTTTATCTGACCTCTTCAGCATTTTCATTTAATAAATGTCAAACCAAAGCAATCCTGTAGATAAACCTTGTACTCGGGCCTATGTTAGCTAGATAGGGCTCTATATCAAATTTTGTTTTATATTGATATAAAAGAACACGTCGTCGGGTATTATGTAATTGTGATCAACCATCGCTTGACTGACAAGTATAATGTCAAATGTTCAACTAATATACCTTTCCATTGGGGTCTATCAGAATTGTTGATAACAAGATAAAGATACATTTTACTTGCGTCACAGGGATATACAGATATGTATATACAGGTAACACCGTATATTTTCCGACTTGTAAAATACACAGCGCTCCAAAAGGCCTCCAACATATCTACACGCATATCCAAATACATGAAAAACTACTTCGTATTTACACAAGGTAATAACTTCTTACTCCTTTGATATATAATAGATAGAAGACCAATCGGTAGGGGTTCTAGTCCCGTGTTTGACACGCAGTCTGTCTATATATCTTCCCCCTCAAGTCATGGCGTTCGGCGATCTTTTCTTTCTACCAATTTGCCTCCTCCGACCAGGTTAGACTGACATTTTGAAGTTCCACAGCAGTCTCATCTTGCAGTAACTGTGATCGATGACGCCTCTTTTAAACGAGCCCCGACACATTTGGGTCAGTTTTATGGAAAGACAAACACGTTGTCTCCTGGTTTGATCATACTTTTTGGTCAAGGTATCCTTTTGTCTTTCTTATTCTCACAGTCGTGTGTAGCCTCACAAAGCGATGGATCTCTTCCATTCTCTCTTGTAGCTCCCATACCCATTCATGTGGAGATATGGTTTTGTCTTCTACTGGTATCGCGTACTATATGTCGTGTTGTGTCGCAATCTCCCTGCACACGCACCAGGAAATTGGTGTGCAACCCGTTGTTTCCTGCTCTACAGAGCGATAGACCAATTGTAACGTATAACAGCAACCCATCCCGGTCTGTGTGGTGGTCGTTGACAAAAGCACTGAGCATAATCAACAAGGGTTTGGTGAACCTTTCCACCATTCCGTCATACCGGGGTTGATAATGGAAAGTGCATGTCTTCATGATAACTAGGAGTTGACACATCTCGGTAAACAACCGGCTTTCAAACTTGGCGCCCTGCTATGAGTGTATCACGTAAGGCATACCGAACCTAAGTTGGAGTACGAGGCTTTGGCAACCAATGAATCTTTTTCCGGGGGTTGATATTTCACTATCTTACCCCACAAGGGAGTGAATGATTTTGTATTACTTACCCTGTTCACCCATTGTGTATCATATGCATAATATACTTTTAACGTTATATGCTAAATGTAGGACTGACGTGACGTCAATGTATTGTTGCGAGGCGTCATACAGTTGTTATGAATATGGGAATCCCCCGTCTCAAACCTAGGATGAGACAAGGATTTCTCACACCGGGAAAAGTGTAGATACAGCTGTCTGGGGTAAGAGAAAAAAGTGTCCCTGCCTTAACATGGCCAGGATATTCGCATTCTCGGATGCCTTGCCGTCCTGCCTTCATGGCATTGTTGACCGATGGCTCTCTTCTCTATCATGGGATACTAGGCTTTTAAAGAGCCTGGGATTTGGCAGAACACCAATTACGATATAGAATATCTTGGTCCAACTCGGGCTGTTTCCGTTGTGACCAAAGAGACTTAAACACAAAGCTCCGACCTAGACTGTTCAAATTGAGTCTTTTCCCCTCTATGTAACCATTGCATTACAATGCTCAAGTCTTTGTCAGCTGTCTGTTGTTGGCGTATGACTTGTTGCTCTTCTATAGGCTCAGCTCATGTTCAATGCGCGTGCTGTCGGCGGCCGCCGCAGCATTGATTGTTTTTCTAACAATTTAAAATTTAAAATTCAAGTTACTCAAATAAGTTTGGAACCCCAATTTGAAGTCTTCACAGAACGTCTTGATTGGTACCTACATACCAACCATTCACTTGGGTGATAATGTGTATTATAGGATCTTTGTACAATAAACACAACAATGACACCTTAATTATATTGATTTTAGTATAATGAATATTATATTGATAACATATTCTATTGCGTCGTACATTTGTATGTAAGAAAAGTTGTATGTTACGTGACAAAGCAAGAAGTATTCAGCGTAATATCCCTATTTTCAAACTCGCATATCTCATGTACTGTTTATTGTAGATTTGTTATTCAAAATCATTTTTTCAGAATACAGTTGATACTACAAATACCACAGTGACTTAATTGTTGCCATGGAGATCAGGAAGATGGAAGATAGAGGAGGGGAAGTGATAATCTCCAAATACTATGACGGAATTCACTTCCCACCATTGGTTTCGGGGAACGTAAAAGACCATTTAGAGGCAGTGAGGAACATGAAATACAGGAAAGGCGACGTGCTTCTTGATTCATTTCCTAAAACTGGTATGTTGACAAGATTAACTAGACTACAATATCAATGTTTATAACTATTCAATCACGCATGTATTTATATATATATATATTTTTCATTTGAACATATTTTATTGCATAAATGAAGCAAACGGATAAGGTACAAGTTATATCAACATTACAAAGGCCCTCTCCACAATAAATTTTACATAAATTGAGAAATAGCATAATTTGATCATAATGAATACCATTTTGTTCATACAATAAATGAAATAATACAGCAGATATAAATATGATGAGTTGATGTCATATCACATAAACTAAACCTTTGGCTGGATTTTATATAGTTACTGAGGGTATCAACATTTACAGAAATGCGTACTACGTCTAGAATATACAATATCATGTTTCACGTACCTTATTTGCTCGCTTGACACAAGTATTTTACTTCTGTTCTGTAACAAGGTTTACTTGAGTGGTACGAAACGACCCGTTTATTTCGTTTCTGTTTGTATATATACCATACAAAATGAATCGCCTTCAACTGAAAGGACAATTCGAAAAGGAAGCTTAGAAGTATACCAGAAAAGTTAATTATTATTCTGACGAAGTATATACTATAGAAACTGAAATTTCACTACGAACGCACATAGCAAATTGAAGGGACGAAATATTAATGATTCGTCTGTGGACCAAACAAAAAGGGAAAATGTGTAATGAGTCAAAGTATAAATGATCGGTTTGTGTACCAAGCAAATCTTCATTTTGATTTCTTAGCAGAGTTTTAACAATTAAAATGAATTAAAAATTAAAAAGACTTTTGGCGCCAATTGACGACCAATAGAAATACATATCGGGTGTGAAGATGTATTTAGTCATCTAACTTACCACGTAGATTTTCTCTGTGTACCCCGGTTTTCACCCACATTCAAGAAAATCTGTTCCAAAAATGATGTAATATTTTATATTTTTATTTTTTTGCATTTTCGACGAATATGTATTTGCGGCTTTGTATCAAAGGACTTGTTAAGGTATACTAACAGTGTAATGTTCATTCTTCAAAATATGTTTGAATTCCGATCTTTCTGGACTTTAAAGCACGGCTGACCTGTATTTTTATTTGTTAAAAAAACATTAAGATTAATTATAATTTTTTCTCATATTCCTATGGATATTATAAATGAGAAAAAAATTGCATTGTGAGTTGTAGCTGGGACAGCTCATCCCCAGACAACACATGAATGATGTATATGTGCCTGAGTAATTAAATATATTTTACACAAAAAAATAATGTTATCAAGTAATTATGATCGCTTTACAATCAATTCAGACGGGATAAATGACACAATGTAATATCTGAGTGTTCACAAGATATTACAAACAAAATATGAGTAGGAATGTTTTAATAACATATATCGACTAGCATGTCTGCTATGTTTATTTAAAGGAACACACTGGACCTATGACATTCTGTATATGTTGAAAAATGAAAAAGCAGAATATAGTACCGGCAATATTGTGACGCTCGACTTTGAAACAACTGAAAAAAACGATGCCATAGACAGCCCAAGAGTTCTGGTGTCACATTTATATCCGCAACATATTCCGAAATTTGTTGAAGACGAGAAATGTAAAATCGTCTATGTCTACCGGAACCCAAAGGATACAGCAGTATCTATGCACTCCTTCATGAAGCGATTAAACATCGAGGGATTGAAAGGTTATAAAGGCACGTGGGAACATTTCTTTGAATTTTTTGCCACAAAACCAGGTGAGCACATGTACGCTTCTGATCTGTCTTAACCCTTTCACCCCTATGTAACTTTAGCAGACTCTACCATGCATTGATCTGAATGAGTCCATTATGGTCTACAGTGGTGAAAGGGTTAACCAATCTTGGTGATGAAATAAATTTCAAAGCCCATTCTGCACGGTTAGGAAATCAGATCGTATAGCATTGTGATTTCGTATTCTGTGTCTATATAAAGTTTTTTGTTTGAATTTTATTGTATACCACGCATGCAAGCGATCTCTCTACTCTCTATTACATTTTAACTGAATTACCATCTATGCCTGAAGTGTACCAACACATACAGTGATAAAGTGTATAGGTGCCTATACTACTATTGATAAAGTTTATAATTCATGTTTCTTGAAACAGCACTTAATGTAAACACAATGTTTTAACTGTTGGTCTAAATCTAATTACACTCAAACCGTTCACATTTCCTAATCTTTTCCTTTTGCATGCATGCATATTTTCTGAATATTTTTGTTTGAGTCTTCTCTTATTGAAACGACAAAAATATTTTTGTTTGAGTCTTCTCTTATTGAAACGACAAAACACAAAACACATGACATAAAAGATTGATAATGCTGTACATAAGCATTAAGGTACAAGAGAGTATAACTTCTCGATGCATATCATTTATTTATTCATAAGTTTCATTATTTTCAGTGCATTATAATACTTGGTTCGAACACGTAAAGTCGTGGTTGGACTTCAAGAAGAAACATCCAGACGTACCCATTCTGATGGTATCATTCGAGGACATGAAAAAGGTACAATACTTTTATTTTCAAGTCAAATATTTAGAAACATGCCTTTTATTTTTTAGTTTAAAAACGTTTGTGTGTGTGTATGTTTTGGTTACTGCATCAATTAGTCCAGTAAAGTTGTTTTCCATTTTCCTATGGGATTACCTTCTACCAACAGGCAATATAATTTAAGTTGACAGAATTGTTAACCTTACACATGGAATATTTGATACTCTTGCCAATGAAACTGCGCGAATTCGGTTATTATTCAATATTAGACTGTCAAATGTCACAAACATAATAGGTCTTATGCCGCGTTTTCACACCTTTACTACAACACACTGGTTTTTCAATGACTTATCGTTTTCATTATGTGAAATCAAATTATTATAAACGAATAATGTTTTTTCCTTATTTTCCACAGTTTCCGACTGCCATTTTTAAAGAACCGACATATTGTAAATTATGTTCTAAAATTCAAAATAAAGGTCGGATTTGTTTTGTTTCCATCAAAATTTCTCTAAAGAAACAAAAAGATTCAAAAGTTTCATTAGCAGTCTTTATTAACATCCAGCATTAAGCCCTTGTACATAGATACAGGTTTTTTTAATAATATAAAAGAATGTAAAAAGAATAAGGTTGGGTTTGTATACTTCAGGACCTCAGAAGCTGTGTTCAAAAGATGGCAGAACATCTCGGGACAAAACAAGACCCAGACTTTCTTGATGAAGTTACAAATAAATGTCAGTTTAGCGCCATGTCCAAAGCAAAAACCTCAAATACGAAAGAAATAGCAATGACCAAAGACGGCAGCAACCCATTCTACAGGAAAGGTAAGTTATATTCTTATCAATTGCTTGTTACATAATTATTCTTCCTGTACATTTAATTTCTGATAAAAAGAATTGTTCTTGTACCTCGACATAATGTTGATCTTATTTTTTGTTACTGTCATAACAAGCAGGTGTTTAGGAATATTATATTAGATCAGTGACATTGTACTTAAAACATGTTAAGATGTTTTTCTCTTGATCGTGTTGCCAATTATTGAGATCAGCAATACGATATTATCACTAAAATGAGAAAATACACTATGCGTATTCAAAATAAGTACGGATTATTTGACAGTTTCCGTTCCAATATTAAAGAGTTATTTTTGTTTGCTGTAAGCAATAACAATTTTGACATATATCTGGTTGTGAAAGAATAATGATTAAGCTGTTGTCACAACTCACATGTACATGAGGTTGACTTAATTTCCCGATTTCAATATTCAAGGTGAAGTGGGTGATTGGAAGAACTGGCTAACTGTCGCACAGGACGAAACGTTTGATGCCGTGATTGAAAAAAATATGACTGACATTGATTTGGAAGTGAAATATACACTGTGATAGACGTTTCAAGGCGGAATATAAAAAAATATCCACGAGAAGTGAATACTACCAAATCATTTATTAGGATTAACAATAAAATATGTTTAAACTGAACAAATTGAGTATTTTTTTACATTATTTCACGAATGATTGTATTGTAGAATTGTTATACATTTTTAAACGTCATTTAATCTCAGTTCTGTGTGATGTTTGAATATTGTAGAATCAATCTGTAACTGTCACATATTATACAAACGCTTACCCTTCCGGAGGTCCGAGTCTTATCCTTATTTTCTTTTCGAGGGTCTGAATGTAAGTCTTTACTCCGTTCATGTTTTATCTTAGTTTTACCTATTTTAGTTCAGTACTCTTTTGTCGTGTTTTTATGAAGTTACAATAATAAAACCTGGTCTTAATAACTTTTAATATTTGGTCAAAAGTTTTTGTTCTATTTTAGCAATTTTGTCAACTTGACAAAACGAGAAAAAAAATCTGATACTCTGAATATGGTATCTTTAGAGAAAAAACAAGTGTGTGGCTATGGTGTAAGTATCTCAACTGTTTCCAAGTTGTGATTCAGAAACTGGCTGCATTCGTTTTTGTTTTTTTTTGAATTTTAATTTTTGAATTTTAATTTTTCAAGATTTTCAGAACATGTACATTATACAGAACATCACATCAACACACATCCACACATTCACACATATCTACTATTGAAATTATCGGCAACCTCATCCTCCTCATCATCATCCTCATCCTCATCAACTGATGATGATTTTATACAATCACCAAGACACATTCAATTTTCACACACTTTCACACAAAGAAAGACAAAACAAATGGGCAAAGAGCACTGAGAGAGAGAGAGAGATCAGACTGCCAAATTTGAGAAGATACTAAATAAAATAAATAACTGCTGTGAGTATTTGTCAATATTTTGATTTTTAAAGTAGAATAACAACTACTAACTTAATATAAATAGTCATAAGACTCAGGGTTAGTTGAGGTCAAGCTCTACTAATTTTAACCATTGTTCCCATTCAGAAGTAAATCTTCTAAGACATTGTTCCCCTTTACCACGAGCAATATATTTCTGAACCTTATAGTAATCTTTAATCGAATTGACTAAAGCCGTCACATTAAGTGACTTATGAAAACATCTGGTTTTGTTTATATATTGTTTAATGAACAGAGTAATTTCATTATCAATTCTGGTATAAATTCCAGTTTGGTTGATAAAACCAAAGATCATTGATTCTTTATTTAGTGAGAAAGGAATAGTGAGAGCACTTAAAAGACTTTCAAAATTGCTCAGAATTTTTTGTACTTCCCTGCATTCCCATAAAACGTGGATAATTGTCTCCCTTTCTATGATACAAAAAACACAGTGTTGGTTATTTACAAGTCCAATTTTGCATAAATAAGAGTTGGTTGTTAAAATATAATGATTAATTCTAAATTGCAACCATTGCAATTTTGTATTTTTTGTTACCCTGAAAGGAATAGCATATATTTTCCTGATTATAGTCCAATATAGTTCCCCATTTTGTTTGAGCAGTTATTGATGTATTATTTCTGATAAGTATATTATAGAAGTCTTGAGAACCCTTTTTCTTCTTTAAAATTATTACAAGATGTAACGGTATAATTGGGTATATCACATTTTTGTTTGGCAAATTAAGTTGTTTCAGATAATTCTTTATGCTTGTTATCAAGCCATGATATTCTAGATAATTAGTTATTGTACCATGTAGATCACAAAATTCCTTAAAAGACAAGAAAGAGTAGTCTGTGTTGTTTTTCAACAAATCATTAATTATCATAATCCCGTTTTTAAACCACTTACTATAAAAAACAACTTTATTACCAACAGAAATATTTTTGTTATACCATAAGGGTGTCTTAAGTAGGGCAAAATTCTCATTTTTAAACAGCTCCTCTTTTGCTCTTAATTTATACCATGCCCTAAACACATCTTTCCAAAACACATTTTTGCAATTTCCTTGAACTTTATTTGCATTCGTCTCTTAATGCCAAGCAATTGTATATAAAGTTTTGGGTTGGGATCTCAACAGTTTCAAAGTTATGACCAAGGGTTTTAGTCTCAAAGGGTGGGGCCAGATCCTGGACCATCCTTGAAGCATATTGCATTCGTCTATTTATGCTCAGCAATATATATATATGGTTATAGGATGGATATCTCAACATTTTCCAAGTTTTGACTCAGCAACTAAGTCCCAAGGGGTGTGGCTAGACCCAAGAGTGAATGTTAATATCATAATTGTGTTCGTCTCTTTATGTCCAGCATGTGTATATTTAGTTTTTTGGTTAGGATCCCAACCGTTTGAAAGTTATGACCCGGGGAATAAGTCCTCAAGGGTAGGACCCGACCCCAAGGCCCACAATGTAAGCATATGATTGTTATCCAGTGCAAAAGTCGTTTAAAGCAATTTAGCCAAATTGCCCCCTTTTGGCCCTGCCCCTCAGTTCTCCGGGTCGTCAGCCCCACCAAATGTACAAATTTGAATCCTTACAACCTAGGGATGCTTCCAGTCAAATTTAGATAAATTTCAATCAGTGGTTAGGAAGTATGAAGAAAGTGTTGTCATACGGACGGACGACGAACGCCACGGTATGGCATAAGCTCATATTGGTTCTTTAGACCCGTTGAGCTCAACATGTCAAAAGCCTTTTGATCTGATATAAGTTTGATTTGTTGATTAGGACAATGAACATATTATGGAGTATTCCAATATATTTTTACAAACATCAATTTGCAAAACACAGTTATGCTTTTGCCATTTATTTATAAACAGTGCCTAAATGCACGTGCTTTTTTCCATGAACCTCAGTTTCCTCACACATTAAGACCCTCAGCTACACCCCAAATATATATATTACATATAAAAATTGAATGAAATGTTGTATTGCAATTTTTGAGAATTTGTATGCAAAGGTCATTCCTCATTAAAATCACATTAACATGGATAAATTAGAGCTACTTTATATAATTATGCACATTTCATTAAGCCATACGACGTGTAGGATTAATATATGGGTCCAGTTTTGGATAAATGTAAAAAAAAACACAAGAGAATACTGAAATGTTCACTACGGGGACCATTAAATACATTCTGTCACAAGTATGTTGTATACAGTTTAATCTACAGTGCTTGGAAGTATCCCCAAATTTCGCAATCGCGCTGTCCATGGCATAAACGCTGCACGGTAGTCTCCCCTTGTATTCTGCCGAGAAACTAGAAGATTGCACTACTCAGAACACTCCTGGTGGCATACCTTTTTCTAGGGAGCATTTTTCTTCATTTTACGGAACAAGAAGAAGTCAAAGGGACTTAGTTCTCGTAAAAAGGGGTGGGTAGTCAATGTCTGCTAACTTTTCTTGCTTAATATAATATTGCTTTTGTGAGATGAGGCATAGTCGTGAATAAGTTGGATATGTTGTTCAACCCTTTTACTTGGACGTTGTAGAATCTTTTGACGGGCTTCTGTACTTTGTCTCTGTAAAGTTTGACAGTGATAGTTTCCCTTTCCTTGCACGGTATCTGAACCAGAGGCCTATAGAATTGAAAACAAAATGGCATACAGAAATTCTTGGCTCTTTTTATACTTTTTGCAATCACTAGCCTTGCTTGATTATCAAACCCATTTCTTGTTATAAATGCACTTCTGGGGTTCAAAGTAAAAGGCCTTGGCTTGTCCCCTGTAAGTAACTCAGATAATATTCTTGAGTCGCTATAACCGTTCTATTCCAATATATGTTAGCACTTTTCAATCGTTTGATCTATTGTTCAGATGTCAGCAAAAGTGGGATCCATCAGCAGCACAATGCTTTTTTCGTTTTAAGCACTTGATCGGAATGTGAAACAGTATCACGACTATCTTTTTTAATTATTGCTTTCACAGTAGCGAAATCTACCTTGTTTAGCTTTCCGCATCAACGTAATGTTTTTTTTCCAAAATGCAACTTCCCCCGTACTATTTCTAGAAATAAATCAATGTCACAAGGTTGTTGTCCCCGAAGTCAGCCATACCACTGTAAAGGTAATTTATTCATTTTATTCATATATTCGCGTGGATTACATTTTAAGTATAAATTATCTGTTGTATCCAAACGATGTTCAGAACGATTTAAATGATTTTAGACGCACCTTTCCCATTACGACCTATTTTTACTAGGGTTACAACGGTTAGCTGGTTAACCGGTTACTCGGTCGGAAGATCACGAACCGGTTACCAAAATCAATAGCCGAATAGTCAGACGTTCATTAACCCCATGTACAGACCCATGTTTCTACAAACTATCTAAAGATGCAATCACAATCGGAAAGTTTCTAGAACAATATTACAGCATATGATTTCGAGTACAGATAACTATAATTGAATTCCGCCTTACTGTATTCCGACATTTGTTGTCCACGAAATATACTTACAGAGGTTATATTTAGCCATTTCCTGCGTTTAGTTTGACAAACGCGAGTAAACTATCATGCTTATCAATATATACATGTATGCATGTGGTGTGAAAATACGTTTTAAATAGAACACTTGCTAAACATATAACGTATCAATGTTGTTTATTGTTTGATTACCAAAATGATTGATTAACCGGTAGTTCGACGGGAAGAAGGTTTCGGTTTTTCATTCCTTTTACCCTTTTAACTCTTTCCGTACACACGACAACAATATGTCACCCTGGTCCCCTTTGTCGTGTTCAGACGACAAAATAATAGGCCGTCTCATCCCCGTTGTCGTGCACACACGACAACAGACTTTGGTGTAACTTATTTATGTTTTGCAGGTTATCGCACACGACAATCGCGTAAAACAATTATTTGTCGCTAAAACCAGCACCCATCAGTTGAAAAGAAATAGTTTTATAGATGCAGAATACACAATTTATATTTTGTGACCCATTGTTTTCGAATCTGCCGCAAGATGTTTGCGTTTGGTGATTCAAATGTAAACAATATGGCGGCAACTTAATTCGATATGAACACTCGTTAATTCATCACCAAATATTTATTTAGACTTATGGAAGTAAACATGAATATTTTGATATAAGTCTTAATGAAATCTACTTGTAATTAGAAAAAAAAACTAACGACTTCGCATTCG